GGAGGTTCACGGGTAGTTACAAGTGGGGTTATAAGTAGGGTAACTATACTTATAACCCATATTAGAGGACTGATTAACCCTACTTATAACTACCCATGAACCTCCAAGTGGGTTTTGCTAAGATGCTCGTTCTACTTCGGTCGGACCGAACAGGCCCTTGCAGTCCTTGAGCTGCTCTTCGAGCTTGGGTTTCTCAAGTTCCGCGGTGCTGGAGTGGGTTCCTAGCCCCATAAGCAGGCCTCCGGACTTTCTAACATATACAGGGCGTCTCTGTGTGTGTGTGTGTGTCTGTGTATACATGTGTATACGTATATCATGTAAATCACACATCTTACATTACAGATGCTTACGTATTTACTCTGTTTTGTGTACTGACTTAACTTACATATCCATACATGTGTGGGTAGATGTTACGGACAGTCTTGCTAAGGACGACGAGTCTTCCGGCGTGCTGGCTCGGATGCCGCTGCGGCTCTGGTCTCAGAGAGCTTCTTTGATATATGTACAAGCAACTATGCAAGAATATCCCCTGTTCGGCCTGATATAACTATGTTTTGCTATAGCGACCCCAACACCCTATCGTCATTACTAAGCAGCAAAGCCCTATATTGGAGTCCCTGCACCAGCACTGTAACATCCTAGTCTAGTCACTAAGGCGCCTTGATTGGAGTTTTGAGATTTTGAGGCTCTCAGTACTTTGGCTCCAAGGGCACTTCCGCCCCTAAACCTGATCTCCTAAACCCCAAAACTTCCAAACCTCAGACTCCTGAGCCCTAGACCTTAAAGCATAAATAAGCTCTTTAAGCCCTAGATAAATCCCAGAAAGCCAAACCTCCCAAACCCTGAATCCATGAGAGGTCGGCTATGCAGCTGCTGGAGGCCACGAGCTTTGGTGTTTTTGCCTTGGGTTCGGCATTCAGAAAGCGGCCTCAAGAAAGGTTTCGGATGTCTTAAGGCTCTTGGGTACCTGGTTTGTAGGTTTTGTTCTTTGGTTGGTGGCCTCTTGCATAGAGAGGGTTGAAGATCCCTGATATAAGGGATGCTTGTAACTGGGATCCCCACCCACCCTTCCGAATCCCGCCTTTGAAGCCCTTTCCAAGGCAGTGGAAGTTTAGGGTTTAGGGGCTTGGGCGTGCCGCCAGCAGTGCCGCCGCTTAATTACTGTGGATGTACATCTACCTGTGCCGCCGAAACTCAGGTGTGCATAGCGTATTCAAATTTCGGGACTACACTGAAGCCCTAAACCCTAAACCCTAAATTTCGGAAAAAGGAGTTCAAAAGGAGTTCAAAGAAAAAACCCTAAATTTCACTCCCCGGCCCGTGACTCCCGCAGGGGGCTGCAGAAGCAAGGCGGAATGGCGAGGCGTCACCTGCGTCTTGCGGTATTGATCTGGGAGTTTCCGAAATAAGGGGTACCTTATGGTGGGGTCCTTATAAAAAGAACACTACATGCAGGGTACTATATGAGGGTCCCCTATTTTCGGAAACCCCCATCTCGATGTGTGCGGTCAGTTTAGAGTCAGGGGCTCTGGGATCATGTGTTGATGATGCTGATGCTGATAACGACGATGGCAATGATGGTGACCATGTTGATAGCCATGATGATGATGATGATGATGATGATGATGCTGATGGTGATGATGGTGATGATGCCACATTGCCGGGTAACAAGATCGAAGTCAGCTATGCAATTTTCGGAGACCTGCAACATGAGTCCACCATGGGGTACTTACTCGCCGGACTCTTAATCCCAAGACCGGAAACCCTTAGACGTCGCAGCTCTGAAATCTGGGAGTCCCATTATATCGAGACTCTTGATCGAACACTCACCGAAGCGTTGCCGCTAGAATAAATCTGCACCTGGTGCCGCCATGCGTTGCAGGACCCCATCCTCTACATTCACGAGAACAGTGGTCAGGTCACAGGCAACGGAGGCCCGGCATAGTCTCCCCAGCCGCTTCAATTGTACATCCATAGTGTTTGTACTTTCATCTGGCTAGTCTTGCCCTTGTCAGTCATTGAGTATTGTTGTGATGACTATGAAGATTGTGATTACCATCAAATCATCATCTTCGTCATCATAATCATCACCGCCATCATCGTGATCGTCAGTGACACGGTCATCGTCATCGTCATAGGCAGCATGCCGCTTATCGGATGGAGGGCTTGCGAACTTCAGAGGAGTGCTCAAGAATTGCTTGTTGGAGGTATCCCAGTCATTTGCCACCTCTGATTCCTTGAGCTCAGGGCCGGCAACTACCGCTTACATCTCATTGCCTCCGGGGTTTGAGGGTAGACGTCATAGAGATTGGAGCCTTGTTCTGACTCTGTCCATGAAAATAGGGTTTGGGTGTAGGGTTTTGGGGTTTAGGGTTCAGGGTTTAGGCCGCGTAGGGCTGTGCCTGCATCCATGCGCCAGTCTCCCAGCTTAGCTCAGGCTGCCATCCTGCGGAGCAGTACCACCCTAAACCCTAAACCGTGTACGTAGGCTTTAGGAGCCTCTTGCCGTTCCAGCGTTTAGGCCACGATCTCAGCGTAAGCATCGTTGGAGTTTGACGATTTCTGGATGCCCTGGGCCAGTTGGCGAAGCAGACAAGCGGATGAGATTTGGCTAGGCCGAGGGACACCTTGTGTTGAGGCAGCTTTAGGGGAGATTGGGCTTTCTGGGTTTGTGGGTACTCATGGGCTGTAGAGATTTGGGGCTCCGTTGCTACTTGGTGCTCCGACGCAGTTGTTCCGGAGATGCACCTTGGGCTTTATCCTTCGCAATGTGATTCTAAATGTGTGGGTACTTATGGCTCTTGGATGCTGCTTCCCGGCTTGTTTGACAATCGTCTGCTCGAGCGACACACATCTCGCGTAAGCTTGCAGGCATCCCTGTTCAGCTGCGCTACTCTGCCACAGATGGCAACTTCATACCGGACATGACAGGGATATCTACTTCGACGACTCCGGTTCTCAAGGCTGCATGCAAAAATATTGACATGATGAAACGACATTCAGCAGCTGATCTGCTCGATTCACCCTGCGTCGCATTTCTCTCGCAAAGCCCTTCATAGATGTTGCAGCCCTGGATCACGGAGTGTAGGGGTTAGGGAATGCCCAAATCTGGGGTTTTCCTGCAACTCCAGGAAACCCCAAACCCCCAAGCCCAACTCTTCTTGGGAACGTCCTGGCAGCTCCCTTTCCAGGCCGTCTTCTCTGGTGAGCCGCCAGGGCAATCTGTGGGGCCGTACCACTGATCACCGAGTCCTGGAAGAAGCAGCACTTGTAGCATGTTGGAGGGTCTTAGAATCCTAGGCTGGGAAGTTTGTGGAACCCAGATCGTAGTAAATTGCACGGCTACAAGGAGAACAATGATACTACAAACATATAACCAAAGTGAATTCTTAGCCAGAGGATACGGAACGATCATATCCCGAGCCTTAGCAACGAGCTAAAGAGAAAGTAACAGTAGGCCTTGGAGGATTCATGAGGCCCTCGTTTAGGTGCCCAACGCGGCCTGCCGATGGACATCAGCACGACCAGACCCGAAAGGTGTGTCGCCGGGAGCTACTTACCCACTAGTCACTAGTGTCTGCTGCCGATCCCCCCAAACCCTTTTCCGCTTGAGTAGAGGGCGACAAATCCTGCACAGAATAGGGTTTTGGGTTAATTATACCACAAATCTAATAAGGAACCCCCAAACCCTACCTAACTCTTGCTCTTGCTACCATGTCGTTGTCATCGTCCATGCCATCTCAGGGTTCGTTTTCCGGGGCGCATCCCCCCTGAGACAGAACAAGCAGCCTTTGCCCAACAGGCATGGGATCCATCTTTTTTGCCCGGCTTTGTCACCCTATGTAGGATGTATCTTGCTGCTCGTCTCTCCCACTGTCTGTAAGCTCCTAAGGACAAGTCCTCCTCCCCATCATAATCCACAGTCTAAACAGAGCTCCTCGACGCCCGTAGCCTTACATGCCCAAAGGATCCGTCATGTGACATGTAACACCAATATCATTAGTACTCCTAGTGAGATCAATGATCGTCATAACAATGATGCTTATAATGATAAAATAGAGCCCCTGGTACTCCTAATGAGATGAATGATCGTCATATTAATGATTTTCTTTATAATGGTTAACTAGAGCCGCGAGCACTCCTAATGACACCAATGATCGTCATATCAGTGATTATGTTGATAAGGATAAAAATAGAGCCCCTAGTACTCCTAATGAGATGAATGTTCGTCATATCAATGATTGCGCTTATAATGATTAAGCAGAGCCGCCAGTACTCCTAATGAGATCAATGATCGTCATATCAATGTTTATGCTTATAAGGACAAAAATAGAGCTCCTAGTACTCCTAATGAGATCAATGTGATCGTCATATCAATGATTATGCTTATCATGATAGAAATGGAGCCTAAACCCTAAACCCTAAACCTAAACCTAAACCCTAAGCCCCTGCCAGCTCGTGCCGGAGCTTTGGCTTCGCCCAGGCCTCGTTGCAATGAGCGGAGTCCAGCTCTGAGGAGACTCTGTGCCTGTTTGGGCCCCAGAGCTGACTTTGGGGTTTAGGGTTTAGGGTTTTGGGTTTTGGTTTAGGGTTTAGGGTTTTGGGCTTGGGTTTTAGGGTCTTAGGGTTCAGAGTTTAGGGTTTAGGGCCTAGGCAGTCGAGTTTAGGGTTCGATTAGGGTTTAGGGTTTAGTGCCTAGGGGGTCGAGTTTAGGGTTGGATTAGGGTTTAGGGTTTAGGGCTTGGGTTGGTAGTCGAGAGCTGGCCAGGAGGGTTTGGGATTTTGAGGGCTTCATTTGGGTGGTTGTCGAAATTATGGTCCCTTTTTGTAATACGGCACCTGTTATTTAGGGTATCCCAAAAGGGACCATAATTTTGACAACTACCCATTTGTTGGGGGGTTGTGGGTTTCCCGGATTGTGGGTTGACGTGGTGGAGTAATCGGGTTTCAAAATAGTATAGGGAGTTAGTACCCATAGGCCCTAAAGTAGTTCCTTTTGGGGGTTCATGTAGAGAATCCTATAAGGTATCCCCTGGAACTAATTGATGCACAGGGGTTGAAATTTTGAGCTATGGATCTCGGACTTTCGGATTTTAGGTTCAGGGTCCCTTTAGCTTTAGGTCCTCGTTCGGGAGTTAGGGTATGCTGGGTTTATCTGGCGTTGATGTTTGCGGGCTTATTTGGGATTTACAAGAACCACTGCGGTTGCTGCTGATGCACGCGATGTGAGCTGATACCTGAAGGTCATCCGCAGCAGTGCTTTGTTCTTGTTTGGACACAGTAGCGGTATGGTATGCCTTCAAGTTCCATGTGCTTAGGTCGCATTGTATGAACTGAAACCTGAATCAACAAACCCTAAACCCTAAACCCTAAAACCCTAAACCCTAAACCCTAAACCCTAAAACCCTAAACCCTTAACCCTAAACCTTAAACCGGTTTGCGGTGTAGGATCAGAGGCCGCGCCAGTCGACCTGCAAAACAACTGGTGACAGTCCTAAGCATTTAAGCGGACTCCGACATCTGAAGACGAAGCATCTCAAACAACCTAAACAGAGTTCACACGTGGGTGTACGGCAACTTTCCAAAAGCAATTAGACTTACCTTTATAGTACCTTTATAGCCTTCAATGTTCAGCGCCACACAATGCTCTCTGAGTTCTTCGTAGATGTCGGAGAGTTGTCAGGAGGATTTTGGCATTGATAGCTGCAAGCCACGATACATCTTCTGACCCTGACCTGGCCTAAGTAAGCCGGATAATCGTGCTTCGATGTCGCTCGTATATGTAGCACTGAGCGTCTGAACAATTACAGCTTGAGTGTTGCCTTGCAGTTGTTGAAGCTCTTCCGACTATCACGTTTGCAGCAGTTGGCATGAGACATGCTTAGGCCGACCCATCTCTGCTGGTGGCCACGGGTGTTTGCCTTAGGTGCGTCTTGTTGTACCAGTTATCGCTTGTCACAGATGTCCTATAAGTCTTAGTGGCGATCCCTTCAGTTCCTCACCATTGCCGTCGTGATGAGGCTGACTACGTCTTGTGGTAGACATGTTTACTGTTCGCTGCTTGCACTTCGGGGTTGCCAGAGCCTATGCATCTTGACACGGAGTCTGTATTCGCACGGGGTTTAAGGGTGGTTAGAGGCGTCCGAAAGGATCTACGAAGTAAGAAAATTGGACATTGTCATTGTATGACTGTTAGAGTTGCGTCTTGGACCACCTTGATGATATGTTCAATGCTACTTGCTTGTCCACCCATAGCACCAGCGTGCGACGTAGACCTTGGCTGCACCTCTTGCTTCTTTGAGCAACCCACAACCAGTTGCACACCGAACCCTACACCCCAAATCCCTGAACCCTAAACCCTAAACCCTAAACCCTGAACCCTGAAGCCCTAAAGGCTTTCCCATGACCTAAGGTCGAGTCGAGGGCAGGAAACGGAAGGAACCCCTGAGCGATGTCTCCGAGCCTCTTTCCATGTGAAGGCCGCTTCATGTTAGAATCGCCACCATTGAGCCAAAAACTTAGCGTGGCCATGGCCCCCAGCTGCTGCAGCCTTTGAGAAAATGGCGGCGGCGGCGGCAGCCGACGAGCGTGGTCTCATCCGAGCAGCCCGGACATGAACTCGTAGGGTTTTGGAGTTCCTTTAAATTTTAGTTTAGGGTTTCCTATACCAGATCTACCAACCCTGACGATAAGGGCTACTGTAATAGGGTTCCTTTGCCCACAAGCAACGCTTCAAGCGGCCTCATCTGACGGAACAAGAGAGACTACCAGGGAGGCGACTGCAGTCTTACGGATTCGGCTTACGTACATGCTTCCTATAGTCTCCATTGTAGTTCCTTTTTTGGTTTAACCAATTATACATTAAGGAATTTATAAGGTATCGCCAAAAAGGAACTACGATGGAGACTATAGGTATCTTGCCTTTGAAGCAGCTGAGATAGAGAGAGCCAGCCGCATATCCATGTAGAAGCAAGCTGCCCCTAGCCTATGCCCTCAAGCTCTGGAAGCCCCAAGCCCCAAACTAAACCCCCTAAACCCTACGTACACATGGCCGGATGAGACGCCATTGCTCTAGTTTTCTGTGGAGCTGTGGAGAGTTTCCAATCATTCGCCGGGAGCCGACATCATTTTTCGAGCAATTTCAGGAACTAAGTCTTGAGCCCTTTAACCTCCATCCTGAAACCCTACTGGTAACACAAAGTCGTCACCCTGAAACATTCAACCCTCCACCCTAAATCCAGGTAGTCTCGGCGATGACTGGAAGCACTGTGCTGGAGGTCGATCTGCACCCCGGTAGCTGACTTTACCCTATGCTTCCAAGGACCTTATAGTTAGGGCCCTAACCCCTTAAGGACCCAATAATGAGGTCCCTGGAAGCGTAGGGTTTAGTTTTTCAAGAGGTGTCTCAGAGCGTTCAGGGCTGTCCGAGTTGAGCTTGCTTAGGGCTTGATCTGTGAAGGGCATGTAGGGTTTACGTGTTTCCGGTTCCAGTGTGTGGTTGTAGCTAGGACTTGTTTTGGCAGTTATGTTGAACTTCTGTAGTTTCGCAGGATTCCGTACGGTACGAGCTTACCTGAAGATGGGCCACCACGGTGAGCGACCTCGAACTTGCCTT